TGTGCTGCAGTGAAAATGGGCAACTCTTTTTCATTTTTCAGCTTAATGAAAAAAAGAGAAGGGAGGAGGAGAAACCCCAGCTAGCCAACTTTGTGCTAATGCTTGTCTTTTTTGGATTCTAAATGTGTCCCAAGGCACTAAGATGGGATAAATATTTCAGCCACTAGAAAGTCCTGCTGTCGGCCTGAAAAGATTTCTAACCTCTTTTAAAGCAGACTGGGTAGTAATTTACTTGTACAAATCCAGACACCCCCATGTCCCTTGTTTTAACTATGCATGTACAGATGCTACTCACATTCTAGGGGGATGAGGCAAGGGGCAGATGGAACTCTCTAGGGAAGAGTACGTGGGAAAGGGAGGAAATAAATTAGTGACTGAATATTTGCCTTCCTTCTTAGAGTGGTTACAAGTATTCATTGGAGACCTACAGAGTGGTCAGGTGCCCAGGGTGCAGAGTTGAACAGAACAGTGCCTCTCTGCCTTCATGGAGTGTTCAGTCTAGGTGGAGAGATAGTACAGACACACCAGTAAGCAAAAGTTGGAATAAAGGAAAACAGGACATTACCAGCATGAAAAACAGGGAGACGAGCTTTAGATTGAGTGTCCATGCAGGGACCTGAAGAAGTAATTTAAGCTGAGGTCTGAAGGATGAATGAGGTTAGCCTCACAGTGTATTAGTTTGCTCGGGCTGCTGTTAGGTTGGCGCAGATGTAATTTCCTTGTGCGTTATGCAACTACTTTTGCACCAACCTCACATAGCAAAGTCCACAGGCTAGGTGGCTGAAATGACAGAAGTTTGTTTTCTCACAGTGCTGGAGGCAAGAAGTCTGAGATGGAGGTGCAGGATTTGTTTCCTCTGAGGCCCCTCTTCCTTGGTTTACGAATGGTCGTCTTCTCCCTGTGTCCTCACATGGTCTTCCCTCTTCCACGGTCTCTGTCCTGATCTCTTCTCAGAAGGACGTCCGTCATACTGAATTAGGGCCCACCCTAATGCCATCGTTTTAAAGATCCTCATCTCCAAATACAGTCACATTCGGAGGTTCTGAGGTTCAGGACTTCAACATATAAATTTTGGGGGGACACAGTTGAGCCCATTACACAGATGAAAGGTAGGTGGAAGAATGTCTGGGCTCTGCAAACAGCACATCTGGAGGCCTCACAGCAGGGGGCACTGAGGTGTGTTGCAGGAGATGATGCGAAATGAGTGTCTAGAAGTAAGCAGCAACTGGACCATGCTGGACTTTCTAAACTATGGCCAGAGTTTTAGATTTATTCTGAGGACACAGAGAACCTGTAGTGCGTTTTAAAATCTCACTCTGTGTGAAGAGAAGGAACTGGAGGGAGTGAGAAGTGGGGAGTCCAAAGGTTTTTTAATTAATAAACTAAGGTTTGTGAACCTCGCCACTATTGACATTTTCAGCTGAATGATTCTTCATTATGGGGGCTGTCTTGTGCATTACAGGAGGTATAGCAACATCTCTGGACTCTGCCCACTAGATGCCAATAGCACCCCCATCTCCCCATCACGACAACCCAAAATGTCTCCAGAGAGTGCCATATGTTCCCTGGGGGGCAAAATTGATCCCTGTTGAAAACCCATGGTTGAAAAGGGCAAGAGATAATGGCGACTTGGATTGGGTGGTGCCAGTTGAGTGATGGGTTTGCAAATTGGATGGGTTTGAGGCAGGTTTTTGAAGGCAGAATCAATAAGATTTAACCTGCCTTTGCCTTAGTTTCTCCTCATGCCCTTTTTTTTTTTTTTTTTTTTTTTTTAAAGACAGAGTTTTGCTCTTGTTGCCTAGGCTGGAGTACAATGGCGTGATCTCGGCTCACTGCAACTTCCACCTCCCAGGTTCAAGCGATTCTCCTGCCTGAGACTCCCAAGTAGCTGGGATTACAGGTGTGCATCCACACCTGGCTAATTTTGTACTTTTAGTAGAGATAGGGTTTCACCATGTTGGTAGGCTGGTCTCAAACTCCTGACTTCAAGTGATCCACCCACCTCAGCCTCCCAAAGTGCTGGGATTACAGGTGTGAGCTACCGTTACTGGCCCTCCTCATGCTTTTGAGTTTGATGATGTCACTTCCCTAAAGCACATGGCTGTGCACCACCTGCATGCCTAATACAGTCGCTCAGAAGAGAAAAAAGAATGTGCCTCTCTGTTACTGTTCACCAGGCCCCAGGATCCCTGGTCCTACTGAGAAAGCACTTTGAGCCCCGTGGCTGGCAGGACCACCTGTGTGTAATAGACATGGTATTTAGTCTCTGCATCCACCCATCCATTTATCAAGTCCGTGTGCCGCCAGCCTTATTGACTCTCAGAGGAAGTGCTTTGGAATCTAATCTGGCCAATTCTCCTGCTCCAGAAATCTGTTTATCAGAACATGATTTCACAGTTGCAGTGACATTTCCAGGGGGGCTTGCCTTCGAGGAGCTACCTCTACAAATGCACGTGTAAGTATTTCCAAACAAAGCAGAATGACCGTTACATTCCCGGCCCCTGGAGAGTTCTCTGCTTGCTGGAGAAGCCCAGAGCAGTTGTTAGCAAACAGCTGGAATGTGTGGATTTTCTGGGTTGAGCATTCGTTGTCTGGCTAGTATCCAGTACCTGGCTGCCCTTCTAGGGTCCCCCTCACGCCCTTGCCTGGAGATGGTGAATTGGTTTCATGTTCTTCTCGGGGTTGTTAGTGGCTTTCTGGAGTCCAGTCTCGAGAGGGAGTCTCTAATGGATTCTGGGCTCGGTGGAACAGAGCATCATGATTAATTAGGGATGGCCGACTTTGCACTAGGATAGGAGAAATTGCAGCAGAATAGGAGAAATAGCATAATACCTTTGCATTTCCTAACAATCAGAGCTGCATGATTTTTAAATTCCATGTCGTTCCATGTTCTGGGCTACATCTTCCTGCACAGAGTCTTTGCTGACACTGTTCTCTAGACCTGAGGAGTGCTTAGTTTTTATCTCTGTGTGTATATCAACATCCACTGTAGATGTTACCCTCTTTCTAGGAATCTTTTTTGATTTCTTTGAATTTTGACTTTATCTTAAGAACACCAGGGAGCCATTCAATGACCTTTTAAAGTTAAGAAATGATTGACTTGGTGTTTAGACAGATCCTTCTGGCCGCAGAGGGGAGAGTGGGTTGGAGGGGGGCAAGATGGGAGGCAGGGAGACCAAGTTGGGAAGTTGTGCCGCGTAGCAGTCCCTGTAAGAGAGGGTGGCTGCTTCGGCTGAAGTCGCAGCTGTGGCAATGGAGACTTGGGGACTGGCCATTATCAGAACATGATTTCACAGTTGATAGACTGAGGAGGGGACAAGGGAGATTTCTAGGGTTCTGATGTGGGCAGTTGGGCAGGGTAGAGCCCCTCATTGTAGCTTCTCTCCTAGAGCTCTCCAGTGAGTGATGAAAGCTCATTTTCAGTAATGAAACATGCATGTGCATTATTAATTCTGTATAATGCAGCAGATAGTCTACAAGGGAAATTCCATGACACCAAGGCCGGTGGGGTATTGCTTGCCTGTGATGGTGTCCGTTGTAATTGGTTGTTGCCTGCTTGTTCTAGTTATAAAATAATTTTAGTATCACCCCAGTGGTACTATCACCAGACTACAGAGTTAGTGCTCATCTGTGTTTGGAGAAGCCAGGGAACACGTTAGAGGAAAGGCGACATATTTGTTTGCTTAAGGGTGTGTAGGGATTTACTAGGAGACCCAGCAGGCCGAAGGGCATCCCTGGTAAAAAAGAATAGCACACATAAAGGATAGTGGCCTGTAGGCAGATATGATGTTAGGAATCTGGAGATCTAGAGATGCTTCTCCTTGGCAAGGTTTTTGAAAGAGAATTATGGACCCTTCTCTTCTCCTGCTACCCCCAGGCAGATCTGGACATCACTGTTCTTATTTTGCTGTGTGTGCCTTTCCAGCCTAAAGGTATAATAAGCCCTAGGCTTTATCTCTGTATCTTTAGAACACAGCACAAGTATCTGGTCATAAATGTCTAGTAAATGCTTATGGAATGACTCAGGAGGAGGCTCTGGAGCTGTGGTGTGCTGAAGGACTGGTCTTTTTTTTTTTTTTTTTTTTTTCCTGCTTTTCCCCAAAACTCTTTTACTCACATGGCTCCTTGTCCCCCAGCCATTGATCACAATGGCTCAGACTGGTCAGATCAATCAGATCCTGGCTGCCTTGAAAATCTGCCCCCAGGGTCCACTGGTAGAGGAACTCAGCACGCTGCCCACCTCCACCGCCACAGCACTGGCCTTCTCTATTTGCTTTCCAGCCTGAGAGTTGGCTGTTTGGGTTGGGGACTTTGGCACTTTATGACCATGTTCAGTGGAGTTGAATCTGAACTTGCAGCTTGGTTCTCAGCCTCCAGTAACTCTTGGCAGGCAATTTCGTGACCTTGGGACCCTCATGGAGGTTACAAATCCCGAGTTCAAGATTCAGTGCGGCCTTTTCTACCTGTGCGACCTCAGGCAGGTTGGTTTTATAGGTCTGGGCTCCTGTTTCCTAGAGTGAAATGATCTCCCAGTATTTCTGCCAACTTGGCCCAGCTTCAAGGATTCTGTGATTGTAAGGGCTACAGAGTCTGAGGCCTGGAAAGGTCTTGCAGTTCCTACTGTTGGAGACATTGGGAGTCCAGTGCTCACTCCTGTCTAGAATTTCAATTTTTAATCACTGCTGATGGGCCAGAAAAGAGCATTTGGATTTTACAACCAGTCTTTGATGGAGAAAGAAAAAAAGTCAGTGAACACCCATTTTGTGCTCGACATTTAAGTATGTTTGTTCCCTGTATTTCTCCATTTAGTCCTCTCAGAATCTCCGGAGGTGGACTGGGGCAGATTATTAGTCCATTTCACAGATGAGGAAACTGAAGGTCAGAGAGGTTGAGTCACCTACCGGAAGTCTCACCTATACCGAACCAGACACCTTTCAGCTGAGGGGCGCTCAGGTCCCTACTGTTGCTGTGCCATCTGACCTGTCCCCTCTCTCCAACAGAGAGCCAGCTGCTCCCCGGGAACAACTTTACCAACGAGTGCAACATACCAGGCAACTTCATGTGCAGCAATGGACGGTGCATCCCGGGCGCCTGGCAGTGTGACGGGCTGCCTGACTGCTTCGACAAGAGTGATGAGAAGGAGTGCCGTGAGTGGCCTGGCCCTTTGCTGGGGTGGGGTGGCAGCCATCCTGGGGCAGAGGGGAGCCGGTCCTGAGCTGGCTTAGACCCTGCACACTCTGCTTGCTGCAAGCTGGTGGTTTTGTGCCTCTTGCCAGCAGTCCTGCTTCTCTGCTGTATCTCCATCTCAGTGTCACATGATCTGTGTAGACACAGGGATCTTGGTGGAGGTGGAGCTAAGGCTTTGAGAGAGCAGAAGGTTTTACCATCAGGCTCTACTAATCCCTACCCTGGAGTCCCGCCCTTGCCTTCATTTTATATACAAGCCAACTGAGCATCCCAGAGGTTATATGGCTGCAGCACCTTAAAACCAGCAAGTGGCACATTGGACGTGGGAACCCAGGGCTGCCTGACTCCAGGGTCCATGCTGGTGACCATCTGACAGAGCACCATGGAATTTTCTTGATGATTAAATGAGGCATAGCATCCCACCAAGTATCCAGCTTGGAGTTGGCACTGAATACATAGTAACGTGCTTTCCCATCCCCTTTTCTCTGCCAATAGATATGGCTTGAGCCTTTGCTGGGGACATCATCTCCTAATGGGCACCACCAGGATCAGATGGTTTTGTGATCCTCCCCACCCCACCTCCTTTTCAGCCCTTTGCCTGTTTTGTGCCGCCGAAACATGTGTGAGAGTTGGGTTGATGGTCATCCATGAGAAAAGAGGCACCGGGGATGTGAGTTGAAAGGGTCCGTGGTGTCAAGTGATCCTGCTCCCTGCCCTGCAGAGGTGTATTTCTCTTCCTCTTCAGTTTGTCTCTGCAGAGTGAGCTTGGCCATGTGCCCTGTGTGGTTGTCCTCCTGGGTGCCCTGGTAGGTAGGAAACATGACTGACAAGTAGTGGGCACAGTGTTGTCTCACAGGGGATTGCCTTGAGACCACATGACTAGACGATGGTTCCTGGCTCTTTCGTGTGCTTTGGGCACCAGGCCACGTGGCCTGTCTGACAGTAGAACTGTGTGTCCTGGCTCTGAGCCTGCTGTCTCCCTGGAAGCCAGCTGAGGAAACAGCTGAGGACAGGTTAATCATTTGAACTTCTTTTTTTTTTTTTTTCTCCCCGAAATGGAGTCTTGCTGTGTCACCCGGGGCTGGAGTGCAGTGGCGCGATCTTGGCTCACTGTAACCCCCACCTCCCAGGTTCAAGCAATTCTCCTACCTCAGCCTTCTGAGTAGCTGGGATTACAGGCGCCCACCACTGCGCCCGACTAATTTTTGTATTTTTAATAGAGGCGGGGTTTTACCATGTTGGCCAGACTGGTCTCAAACTCCTGACCTCATGATCCGCCCACCTCAGCCTCCCAAAGTGCTGGGATTACAGGCGTGAGCCACCGCGCCCAGCCAGTCATTTGAATTTTTAACATATCTCTGACTGGAATTTGGGGCCCCCGTCTGTTGACGCACAGGAAGGGGTACCTCTGACCAGAATTTGGGGCCCCCGTCTGTTGACGCACAGAAAGGGGCACTGACTTTGGAGTTCACATACCTCTGGAGCAAGCTGCCCCCTCTGAAACTGGCCCTTTGCCCATCCAAGGGTCCCGTATCCCCAGTGCCTGCTCCTGCCCTTCAGAGAAGTTTCTGGGATGGGAAAATTGAGGTGTGTTTTTTGGGGAGAATACTTCATACTGCTTGTTGCATGTGACCTTTCTGAAATGATGACTATACGCGTGAATTTTTATTTTTGCAGAACTGTTTGTTTGTTGTCTTCCAGCCCAGGCTGAAATACAATGACATGATCATAGCTCACTGCAGCCTCCACCTCCTGGGCTCAAGTGATTCTCCCACTTTGCCCCCCCAGTAGCTGGGAGCACAGGAGTGCGCCATCACGCCTGGCTAATGTATTTTTATTTTTTGTAGAGACAGGGTTTCACCATGTTGCCCGGGTTGCTCTTGAACCCCTGAGCTCAAGCAATCCACCTACCTCCGCCTCCCAATGTGCTGCGATTACAGGTTACAGGTGTGAGCCACCAAGCCCGGCCTGTAGAATTATTTTGTAAAAGTATTATGTCTAGTTTAGCTTTTCTCTGTTTCTAACATGGCCTCAGAATTACTAGAGCTGTAACATTAGTAAGCTGAGCAAATGACATAGTATGTGTGAGCTCTGTCATCTGTCTGGTTTTAAGGATTTATTAAACACTCTACAAGTGTGCCAAGTTACCATTTTTGAGATATGGTGTATATTTGACCTTTGGCACATGCGGATTGTTGTTAGCTGACCTGGGAATATTTGGGACATGATGTTTCCGAAAGAACGCAGGGTTAAGGAGTTAATTCCTAAATTGTATTCCCAGCTTTGTCAGTAGCAGCTGTGTGATACTAGTGCAATCTCTGACGTTCTGTGTCCTGTCACAAAATCTCATGATTTTAGAATTCATGCTCAAATGGGAAGACATGGTGGAGAGCAAATATTTTTTTAAAAAGATGTTGCTCGCAGCTGCCTGGAGCTGCTTGGTTTGGTTTGGAACAGGCTCATTCTTGGCTATTCTCCATTCGTTTTTTCTCCTGACTTCCTACCTTTAGCACCCAAGTGTGGTGGAGATTTGAGTGGCATTTATGTAGTCTTTTGAGCAAAACATAATTAAAAAACCATGCGCCCCAAACGTATATTAACCTCTCTCTGTAGCTCTTCTTTTTTTGTCTTTAAATTGTGAAAACAGAACATTAGAAAGTTTAGATAGTAGAGGGAAGGAGAAAAAGTCCCTTTTCTAAAACAAATTCTACTTTCATTTAAAATTTCTTATATATTCCCTTCCAGCCTAGGACTTGAGGGTGTGAGCCCTTGAGAAGGCCTATTTGTGTCAAAATCTGAGCCCTTCTTCCCCCTTAGGGGGCTGTGTGATCGTGGGAAACTTACCAGAATGTTCTAAACTTTAGGCTTTGGGAGAATTAAAGAGAATTCTTTAACCTCCTGGTGCCTCAATTTCCTCCTCTCCAAAACAGGGGTAATAAAGGCTTCTGATACTTAACACTGTTGTGAAGTTTTAACCTGTATGAAGCACGCAGCGCAGTGCCTGTATACAGTAAGTGGCTTGTAAACATGAACTATTATTGGTTAAATCTGTACCAACTATTTTATTTGGTGGTTGTCATGGGGAAATACGGTTCAATTGCCTGCTTTTTTCTACTTAACATTAGAGGCCCTTGGCCACATTCTATATTGAGGATTCACAGTTGTTTTGGGAGGCTGCCTAATGCTCTGTCAGGTAGACACACTGTAAGTTAACCATCCCCCTGTGTTTCAGTCTCTTCTGTTTCACTCTCTTTCGCACTTTTACTTCTGCTGATCAAAATGTTTAGGATCATTTAAGGAACTTATGCTTAACCAGATCACGGAAATATACAATGGTTTCAGCCAGAGCCAGGGTGGACAGAGCTGAGGTCTCCAGGGTGACCAACTTGACCCCCTTTTCAAGGATGATTGGAACGGCTGATGCGGAATTCCTGCCGCCTTCCCGGAAGGAGGGAAACTGGTTCTGTGTCTTGCTCATGAGCTACGAAGCCCTTTCTCTGATTCTTTGGAACAACTGGGTACCGAAGGGGAGGCGAGTGAAGGTGGCAGTGTTCTCGCCTCAGAGAGGTGATTACTTCAAGTGCCCTGTGGAGCTTTGGCATTGGGAAGATAATACGCTTCTTAAAAAAGAGAGAATTCTTGCCCTTTCCAAAGGGCAAGAAAGAGCCTGCAGAGGTGTGTCATGGTGGAATATGAGGCAGTGAGCAGCTCTTCTGTATCCACAGCACAGGAAGGATTTTTACCAGACAGGAAGAATTTTTTTAAAAATTTTTATCGTGAAGGTAATAAGACCACATATTGTAAAAACTGAGGGCAGAGAAGGAGGAAAAGCGTATGTACTCAGATCCACTGTTGGCATTCTGGAAGTTCTCATTCAGGCTTTTCCCCAGTGTAATCGCCAGGGGTGTACAGTTTTATATTTTGACATTTTTTCATGTAACATTTCAATTTCAACCTGTTAACATTTATTCTGTATCTTCCCCCATTTTCCTCTTTGTCATTTTTAGTGCCATTAACTTGCGATAATATGGTTTATTTACACATAATTTGGCATTTCTCTTCTTTCCAGTTTTCCACTATGGGAAACAGTGCTCACTTGTGAACAGGAGGGTGGACATGACTTCCCCTCTGTTTTGAGAAAGTTGCTTAGGCTCAATTCTCAGAATTAAAATTACTGGGTGAGAGGGAAGGCACCTTTTCTTGGCTCTTGACACCGACTGCCCACTTGTTTTGCTAAAGTTTTGCACTAGTTTGCTGGCAATGTGTGAAAACTATGACTTTATTTTAGTCGTGGCAGCCCTGGGTAACATCTTTAAAAAATATTTTTCTGGTTAATTTAATAATTGAAAACGGTTACTTTTTTTTAATTTAAACAAATTATCTAGCGAGATTGTTTTCCCTTACCTCTACTTACTAGTTTTATTTCTTTGTGAGATACCTATTGATGGACTAAAATTAATTTCCAGCTGAGTTAAGACATTAGATTTTCTGCCTCTTGAATCTATAGAAGAGGCTCATTTGGGGACACTTTGAGTGTATTTCTGTTCTTAGTTAGTGGAATGCCCTCAGAGATAGTTTTATCCAAATAGCTTTAAAATAAAAGGAATAAAGATAATGTTGTAGAAAAACGAGGAAGCACCATGAAAGTCCTGATTATGAGGAGAGCTTATTAGAGCTTCCTCTAGGCCACACTATCCCAGGCATTTTACATTCTATTGATTCGTTTGATCATTGCAGAAGCTTTATTAGTAAAGGGCTGGTGTCATCTCCAGATGAGGAAATTGAGCAGTAGAGTGATTCCATGGAGCTTGCCTGTTGGCCCAGAAAATAAGTCTCCATAACCTTCTTCTGTCAGAGACCCCCAGTGGGGGCTTTCAGTCTTTTTCTCCAGTTACCTGTTACCCTGCTGAAATGGAATGTTACTGCTATCATGACATATTATCCTGTCGAACCTGCTTTA